CTGGCTGGCTCATCTTCCGCCCCCGCCTTGCTGGGCCTGGTGACGGTGGGGCGCCTGCAGGTGTCCACGGGCACGGACGGTCCATGGGGTGCTGCCTGGTCCAGAATGCGGTGAGCATAGCCCAGGCGCAGCTCTTTGACCTTTGCCCAGACCTGCTCGAGGGTCTGGTCTGGATGGCCCTGGTCCTACTGCGCCTGGGCCATGCGGCGGAAAATGTCTGCATTACAGTGACGGGTGCCCCGGGTGTCATGCAGGGCCTCCTTGTCGGCCCACAGGTCCAGGAAGGCCTCGAGCTCCCCTGGGGACCGGGATGGGGCTCTCCGCTTCCTGCCCCTTGGGGCCTCCTGCGCTGGGGGTGCGGGTGGCTGTTCCCCCCCTGGAGTGGCCATCCTGGGCTGGTGGTCTGGTGGCTGTTGGGGAAGGGAGCAGAGCCACGTGGCAGAGGTCGATGGCAGAGGTGGCAGAAAGGTTTCTGCCTCGTGCCCTCTGCAGGCTGCGTCTGCCTTTAAGGGGGCTTGGGTTACCAGGAAGTCTGGGAGCTGCATGCGGGAACCAATCTTTCTGGGACCCCCTAGAAATACCCCCACTCAATGATGATTCCCTGTTTACAATCATATTTTGAAATTTGCCAGTTCACACATTTTTAATCCATTTAATATATGTCATGTTGATTGTGTAGTACTAGTGTCTTAAACAAAATACAGTGCAATGCCATGCAAATGCCTCCCAGATCTCTAAGGCTGTGTTTACATTGGCAAGATTTTGCACAAAAGCAGCTGCTTTTGTGCAAAATCTTGCCAATGTAAACACAGCCTTAGAGATCTGGGAGGCATTTGCATGGCATTGCACTGTATTTTGTTTAAGACACTAGTACTACACAATCAACATGACATATATTAAATGGATTAAAAATGTGTGAACTGGCAAATTTCAAAATATGATTGTAAACAGGGAATCATCATTGAGTGGGGGTATTTCTAGGGGGTCCCAGAAAGATTGGTTCTTGGCCCTGCATTATTTAACATTTTTATTAAGGACCTGGAAAAAACCAAAATCGTTACTGATGAAGTTTACCAACCATACAGAGACTGGGGGAATGGTGTAAGGGGTCATGGGCCTTGAACACAGGGTCGTAGCTTGACAAGTAGTATTTAGACCCTGGTTGCCACTCATTAACTCACTCAAAGCTACTACTACTAAACTACTTAGGCAGATATTCTCCCCTTCTGTACATTATTCCATGATCTGCAGCACTGGGTTGTATGGATCAAGAGAGGCCAGGAATCATGCTTTCTATACCCAGGGATTCCTACCCAGCCATCTGTGTAGAAGGATTCCTTCTAGAGATTCCATTGCAACCTCATTATTACAGTCATGGTAGGTCAAACATATTATTAGCAATATAACCATGGTTCCCTGCTCCAGGGTATGCAGCATTGTTCCAAACAGGGGAGTGTCAGGTGCTGGTTCTCCATGGTTCATTTACACCACAGCAAAGGTGAGAATAAAGTAATCTATATACACTTACTTTGTACTGGTGTAAAATGACTACACAAAAAGCAGGGCAACAGTAGATCACCATGAGTGTTGTCTGGCACTGTAACTCTGACAGTACTAGATCACACATCTCAAGCTTGCTGAGAAAAGATGATTTCAGGAGTTAGGCTGTACAGTGAACTTTAAGAATAATCATGTAGTTTTCTGACATTTTACTATAATTTACAAATACATTTTTAACCTCCGCTACACTGCATTTTTGTTGCAAGGCAGTCAGCTTTCCTAGTCAGTGACTAATGTGTTGTTGATAAGGTATATAAGAGATGAAGAGAAGAGAAGGTGGGTCTCTACACTGTATATAAAGAAATAGTAATGCAAGATATTTTGATGTGTTTTTAAGCCTGCATTTATCTCATGTATCCACAGCTTATCCATAAAACCGAACACATTGACTTTAATAAACAAGTATACTTAAAAATGCTTATTTTAAAAAAATGTTATAGTGGGTTTGATTTTCCTCTCACTTATACATATTTATACTAGAACAATTCCATTGACTTGAATAGATTTGCTCCTGATTTACACTGGTGTGAAAGGGAATCAAGCTTTTATGTGTCTATATAATGCCTATGGGGATCAAAATTGTCTTTGCCAAGTAGAAGATTAATAAACAAGTAGAATACATATTTTTACATCGTTATTTCAATGAATGTATGACTGATTCTGACGTTGTGCACAGATAAACCCTTTCAAAATCAGCTAACAATTATGCAATCTTCCATATCTTTGCTTAAAAACAGTTTTTATTAAAGTTTGGTGTCTCTTGAGCATACAATAATCATTTAAGGTGGTTTCCTGGTTAAACAATGTTGTAATTTCAATTAGGTTAAAAAAAGAAAAAATATAAAACCCTAAGGGGTAAACATAATTTATGAACATACATATTTTAACAAATTTGGCTTTGAAGTGCTGAATACCTGTATACACTAACTACTACTGTAATATTTTATGCAGTGAAATAACTTGCCGTGATCTAATAAAATTAAGACCTCAAGGTTTTATAATACTAATAGGGAACACAAGTTAAATGTGATAGTTGTAATACGGTTCTAAATATGAAAAGTGAAATTGGTAGTAAGTTATGTGGTAATTTCAGTATTTTCTTTGATGAATTATTCCAATTTAAAACCAGAGCAACTGAACTTTAATATGCACATTTTAAAGCAAGTTAGACCTGGAAAACATTGTCAGGGGCTACAGATAATGTAAATACTAGCTTACAATGAAACACAGCAAAATGTCTTTATGTATGCTATCAAATGAGAGCAACTATTATTTTGTATTAATGTTAATTATGTGCTGAATTATTCAAATATGATCTGATATTTTCAAGGCAAATTTGTCTTTTGATAAGTGACATTTTAAATGTACTATAGTTAGTGCTATGGTAAATATATCAAAGGCAAGGGAAAATAAGACCATACTATCGCTTTGAAAGGTATACAAAATCTCTGTTTTACAGCAGGACTTTGCAAAAATTCCACTTAGAATCCTCAATCCAAATGGTTACACAAATCAGAGCATACAGGATTCTTTTGCTCTTAGTTTACCATGTGCACTGAAAATGAGAAATAAATGAGAGAAACAGTTCAGGCATGATGGCTGTCACCTACAGGCGTTAGTTTAAGGTGAAGATTATGCAAACACTATTATAATGTTAATGATATTCCTAGCCCACCAATTCAATTTATTGATAAAGGTAGGACCCTTTTCAGATTTTCTCTTTCCTAATGAGGTAAAGATATAACTTGTATTTACATCCAGATGGTTTAATTTAAATGTTATTTTAGCTGAACTGTATGTGATTTGGTTTTATTTATATGTGGAAACATATTTTTCAAGCATTTCTTAATTGTCTGTTACAAACCTGTGACTCGAAGTTTATCTGTACCAACTGCAGCTTCATTTTCATCCACTGTAAAAAGAGGTATGCCATCTATGGAGTTGATTTGAAATTGCTGACCAAGGACTTCTACCATTTTAGGCCCTGAAAAGCATATTTGACAAGATAAATAATTACTAAGTGAACTTTAATCAGGATTCCTTTCTTGCATTCTATACTTAAACAATCAGCCAAGTAACACCAGGTTATTCAAAATCCAATCTGATTGACTTAGCGAGTCATCTAAATGCATTTAGGAATTGTGAAGTGATTAGATACTATGTGATGGAGGACATATAAATTCCCAACATAGATGGATCTATTTACATAACCTAATTTTGTTGTTTAAAACCATGTCTGGAGTCATGCTTTGAAGCTTGGGTTTACAGCAAATATAGGCAACTTCTTACATACTGTGTGAAGGCTTCGTGTAAAAATTCCTAAGTGTCTTTGATCAGTATATATGTGTAATATTGCTTCCTTAATTGAAAAAAAAAGAGTTGACTTATGAATATGTTTGCAAAATCCTCATTATGTGATATAAGAAGATCCTCCATAAAACAATCCCTCAGCTGTTTAGACAGTAAGTGCAGTTCTGACCCCACATTTTAAAAATGTTGCCTTTCATGGTGTTCCTAAATCACATAAAATTAGTTGAAAAATATTTTCAGATTTTATTTGGAATGACAAAAATATCTCTCAGCCATGAGGTGTTGCATTTGCAGTTTGGAATGGAGAAAGGTGTGTCCATTTTGTGAGAGGAGGTCTTGTCAATTTGGAAGAGTGTAAGGAGGCTGAAGAGACATCTGATAAAGATAGGGGAACCAAGTCTGTCTGATGATGGTGCCTTCCATCTTGATCTTGCAAATGGCTTTTGGAATGAGAGGAATTGGGGAAAAGGCATGGTACGGATGAGCATCCTGTGTAATGAGAAAGGCATTGCCCAGCAATCCTGGTCCCATATCCATAAAGCCTTTTCCGAAAGATCCCTTATCCTTCTATGAAATAAGGGATAAGGGATCTTTTGGAAAAGGCTTTATTTTCCGCAAGATCAGCGTCTTGACTGGTGCTTTTTTCCGGCAAAGCTCCGTGCCGAAAAAAAGCGGCAGCCATTTTTATGCTAATGAAGCAGGGGAGATTTAAATCCCCGCTTCATTAGCAATTCGATACGTCTAATTTACATCCCTTTTACAAAAAAGGGATGTAGTCTAGACGTAGCCATGATGTTTGGCATGTAACTATAGATGTAGCGGTTGCTCATGCAGCCATGTCGGCTACGTCCAGCACCATCTGTAGCACAGTACGGGATGCAGTGTAACCTTCCTCTACCATGGATTTTAGGATTGGCCTTCTATCATCTGGGAGATGTTGCATGAGCTCGGTTAATTTAGTATAGTTCTCGAAATCATGATTGGCAAGGAAAGCAATGTAGTTGGCGATTCGCAGCTGTAATTTTGAGGAAAATTGGTTCCTACCAAAAAGATCAAGGAATTTATGTTCTTTATCTTGCATACAAGTATTAAATTATGGTAATTTAGACCTGAGATGAGCAGCATCCACCACTAGTGAATTCAGCTGTGGGCTCAAGACTGCTTTGGAAGGGACAAAGTATTTTCTGTCAGCCCATTTGTTGGCGGGAGGGGGATTGAGGTTGGTATTTGCCACACCTGATCAACCACTTTCTTGATTGCCTGATCAATTGGGAACACAATTTTAGACTGGGTCGCTGGCAGTAAGTTCTTTAGGAGCCGATGTTGTTTCTCCTGAACTTTGGTAAGGGTCACCTCCTGACTAGGAATGCATTTGAAGAGTTCTTGGAATGGAAGGCACTTGAAGAGTTCTTGGAATTGCTTTAAATCATCTGTCAGCAATAAATCAGTTGAGATCACCGCTTCATCATGCAAGGAGGATGACTGGTCAGTCAGTGAAGTATCTGGTGGCTGAGGATCATCTTCATCCATGATTTGCCCCTCTTCGGTATTCAAGTCCTCTGTTGGAAGAAGGCTCTGAGGGCAAGAGGATGTTGCAGGTCTCCTAGCAGGTGCTGACGCTGTCTGGAGGGTGACCACTGATGCCATGGGGACCAATGTAGTGGATAATGATGTGGATGATAAGACCAGCTTGGGAACCACGAGGGATCATGAGGGTATTGTGGTCTTTGCCTATCATACGGTACAGGCGATCTGGAAGGGGACAAATGTTGGGAAAAGAATACACTCCTCCAGTCATCCTCAAACCAACTAAGATGACAGAGCACAGGTGATCTGGGTGAGCAAGGAGACCATGTCAATGATGGAGGGAATGGAGATGACTGCCTTGAAGCGGCACTGGGCACTGATGTGGAGCACTGCACCAGAGATGGCACCTGTCTATCGTGATTGTGTCTGTGTGAAGAGGTGTGGTGCTGAACCAAGGCATCTGTTGAGAAAGAAAGCCTTTTTCGACAGATCCCTTATGCCTCTTGCAAGGAGGTTTACAGGATCTGTCGAAAAAGGCTTTCTTTCTGGACAGATCCCCCTCTAGACTGCCGCTTTTTGCCGACAAAGTGCTGAGTTGGCAAAATGCGGTGGCCATTTTTATGCAAATTAGGCACAGGATATTTAAATCCCTGCCTCATTTGCAATGTCGACCTGCCTAATCTGTATCCCTCTGCTAACAGAGGGATGCAGTCTAGACATACCCTAAGTAACAAACAGGAAAAATGAACTAACTATAGCTATATTTTTCTGTCTCTAGATAAGCTGAGGAGAGAGAAAGATTGAGCTGTCTGTAACTGAGGCAGTAACGAAGGAACTGAGGGGAGCTGGGCCGCACACACAAAGTGCAAAGGGTGAACAGCACGAGGTGCCTGTCACACATGCATGGTCCGATCAGCTACTGCTAAGAAAAACTCCGATCTGTGGCACCAGGAGAACCCAACACCAACAGTGGAGCACCCACGGGAACATCACTCAAAGAAGATTATATTCTTTATATTATTTTATCTTTGACTAGATATTAATAACTCAGCAAACAGGAATATACAGTTTTCTGTGTATTTTTTATATCTTTTTTATCCTCCTCAGAGCAGGATTATTCCCTATAGTATATTCTGAAGTGTTTTGTTCTATTTAGTATAAGGTAAATTAAGTGACTGGGTTTCCAGCTATTTTCTTGCAAGGTTATTTCATGCTCTAATATACTTCACAGCTAAACATTACAGTCATTCTTCACTTTTAGGATAATATTTTATTTTTCTTTACAGAAATTTCTATTGTGATTACCCCAGAGTCTTGGCATGTTCTGCTCTTTGTTACTAGGGCTATGTCTAATCTATGGGGTTTTTCCGGGATTCCAGAGGTATCCCAGAAAAACTCTGCTGCATCCAGGGAACGCATCTGCCCTTCTGCTCTTTTTTGCAGAAGAGCAGATGTGCTTTTTCGGAAGCCCTGTCTTTCTCCTCTCACAAGGAAGAAGGCCTCTTGCAAAAGAGTTTTTTTTTTCTAAAATCTGGCCCAGTGTAGAGAGGCCAAATTTCAGAAAAGCCTCTTCCAAAAAAACTATCGGAAAAAGGTATGCAAATTGCGGAGCACAATTTGCGTACCTTTTTCCAATAAAACCTCATAGTGTAGACATAGCCAAAGAATCTGCATAATTCTTGTTTGTGTGAATGAAAAATATATACATAGAAAGAGATGGGTGGGAAGGCTATTAATGATCCAGATGGCCAAGGGAGGAGTAAGAGACTTGAAGGCACCACTAGGAGGCACCACGAAACTTACCCATTATAACTGAAACTAAGGGAAACACCATCAAAGACAAGATAACAGATCACACCAAAGCTAGAATGCGGCAATTCCCAGAGATAGTTGTTTAAGATACTGATGAAGGATGACAATGAAAACAATCTTGAGATAAACATTTAATCAGGAGTAACTGATGGCTATATGATGGTGCAAAATCCATATACTGGAATGGGGTAGAACTACTATATAGGATGTGGTGTTTTGTTAAGGTTTTTTGGGTTCATTCTGCAAAAGCCACAGAGTATCAGATTGCAATTGACAGAATCCAGTTACTCCACCCAGGCCCGATCTAACTAACCCTTAGGTTGGTCTGAGCTACAGATTGGAAACTATAATAATGTTTCAGAGGGTTATCTGCATTAATCTGTAACTTTAAAAATAATGCATAGTCCTGTGGCACCTTAGAGACTAACACAAATATATAGTATCATGAGCTTTCATGGGCAAAACCCACTTCACCAGATTCTCTGTGTGTGCACATGCATATGCATATGCTGCTTTTCATGTTGTATTGTCTTTTCCTCTGGAAAAGATCCCATGTGTTTTGTATAACATATGGTGAACTGTGGTTTCCTTGTATATAGTTGTCTATATAATTCAAATGTTGAAACTGATCATGGCGATCAAGAAATGGAGGTGGGAGGGTCCCAGAACTTGGACTGTGTCTGAGTCCAAACCTCTTTATCACAATTAAATAGCCCGTTAGCCCAAACAAGCTGGCATGGGACAATTGCAATTGCATAATTGTATTGTAGGCATATGGTAAGAAATAGGATTCTTTGTGCAACTGCAAAGCATTGACATTGTTTTTCTCTATTTTCTCCTGTACTTAATTTTTAATGTTTATATCTTAAAAAGGTTTCACTATGCTGTGCATCCAAGTACAATATGGTATCACACAAGACTAATAGTTACATGACTTTAATACACACCTGCCTTATATCAAAACAACAGGAAGCCAGGAAAGAAGAATCAATTAAAAAGCCTGCACAGTGCTTCATTGGTGGCCTCCTGTTGTTCTCCAAATTATGATTGTTCCAAGTAAACCGAGGCTAAATAAAACAAAAGGTATGCCTTGAAATTACCAAATATATTGAGTAACTAAAACTGAAATCCTCCTTTCACTTTATTGGGGTCAAAACTCCAATTTTCCTCCTGGAATGGACAGAATAAGTCTGGGTATGTCTATACTACAAAGTTAGTTCGAACTAACGGATGTTAGTTCGAACTAACTTTAATAGGTGCTACACTAGCGCTCCGCTAGTTCGAATTTGAATCGAACTAGCGGAGCGCTTAGTTCGAACTAGGTAAACCTCATTT